TATCCGTACTATATTTACGAGTTGGATTTTGATAGTATAATTTAATTATAATTTCATGTTATTTATAATGTGATTTTATATTGATGGAATAACGGTTTCGAAAAATATCTTTAATAATCATAATGTGATCCACTAGACTTAGTCGAGACGCGTAGGCCGGGTCTAGGGGGTTACAAGAACAGCGGAAGCACCGGCCTTCTGCACATTCCAGACCTTCAAAGCAAAGAAGCAGGCTGGGAAAATAATAAGAACATACATTAAAGGCCAAATTGCATCAAAGTATCGAGATATCATCACCGAGTACTGGCCACATAAAAGTGAATTTATTTCCTCACATCTATCAGAGAATGTATTAATTTAATAAACATCAAGATCTATTCATGCAGCCTATTACAAAAGAGAAAATATAGGCATGCCATCCCAAATCAAACAAAGGGTAATCCATTGTTAATTATAAGACCAATCAAACTTAAACTACACCCTAATTAAGGGGAAAAAAGTAAGAGGTAAAAATTCAACCCTAAATTTCAGAAAAAAAAATAGGATAAAAAGGGAAAAGGACATCATTCCAAGTAAACTGAGCAAGCTAAAACAAGAAAAAATAATTATAAAAATAAGTGAACCCAACAAAAATAATTAAAATTATGAAAATCTAGGAAAAGGGTACCTCCACGATCGACCAAAACAAGAGTAGGAAGAGCGTCGGGATTGATTACTGCATTAATTAAAAGGTGGAGACCGGAAACTCATACTTTTCATTTGCCATGGAGAGAATGCACCATTACTCTAGAAGACGTGTTTATGCAAATCGATGCCCGATAAATGGAAAGCCATTGGTAGCTTATACCGATCTCAATGTTGAGCAGTTTGCTTAAAATATATTGGGAAGGTGCCATATGAGGAAAATATGAAATGTTATCGTATGAGAATCAATTGGTTGGAGAAGGAATTTAAAATCACCTATTATAGTACGATAGAGGAGATTAAGCGTGAAGCTCGAGCATATCTTATGCAACTCATTGGAGGATACTGATGTTGGATAGTTCTGGTAATCTGGTTCACACAAAGTATCTCCAATTTATGGATGAGGCTTGGGAAGTTGTTGAATATAGTTGGAGTTTGACAATATTAGCGTTCTTATATCGTGAGTTGTGCAAGGCATCCTTATTATAAAATGGTAAAAAAAAGAAAGAACGTTAATGGATGCCTACTATTATTGCAAGCGTGGGTTTGACAACGACTGACATTTTTTACACCAACTACTCCAAGTTTGACTGGTTTTCCTCTTGTTGCAAGGTAATATTTTGATTCTAATTTAAAATTTATTACTTTAGTTTAAAATATATTTCGCATATTATTTGTTAGTTTCACATATTATTTGTTTGCAGATGGTGTACGAAAAAACAATACACGAGATTAGTGCACAACAATGTCAGGGTATGTAGATCGAGGATTGATTTGTACTACAAAGATTATATATATATATATATATGAATGAAAAGCTAATTTTATATATAATTTATTTATAATTTAGTTTGGTGTGTAGTCGTTTATTTAAAATATTTACAGTTTATTTGGAGATTATACAACAATGATGACATATATTAAGATGTACTTGATTATTTGATGGTGGATTCTACCTTCTGCTGTACTGTTACACCAATGATTTACTTTTATGTTGTCGAGTTTTAATTTGCAGATAGGGTGTTGAGGGAGTTTGACTTCCACCATCCCATTCCATAAATTCCAGTGAATTATGATCATCTTCATGATGTAGATAGACGGGGTAGGTTCGAACGTAATTAGAAAGTCATATATGCTTATTATATTGTCATGTGGAATGACAGATCTTTATTATTGCCATGTCGTACTCCTATTGAACATGACGATTTTGATTGAGATAATTCAGGGTACTTGATCTATTATAATGCGAATGAAATACTGTACTTGACAACGATCGAACAACGGGATGAATGCTACAACTATAAAAATAAATATGGTGATAGCAGTGAATTATGTACGAGTGGAGTAGGCACATCTCTGAGTGAAGCGACATCATCTCACAATGAAGATGTAGCAACACAACAGTTGTCAAGCCCTTAGTCGTTTGCGTAGGGAGATATTCCAGCAATACCTATGGCCACATGGGAAAAGGAGCCAGTAATGGGTGACAGCTCAACACACAATGAATTGGTTGATAATGAGCTTGAAGCATATAAATCCGAATTTTACAATCCTACAGGAGACCAGAATATTGGTGACAACATGAATTTTCTAGAGATGACAATTTTCATGTCTTATATGCCAATTTACAATCACCCGGGAGAACAGAATGGTGACTATTTTTTTACAACACAACAATTTAAAATATATTTTTAATAAAAAAATATACAAAAAATTTAAAATATATAATAATTTTAAAATTTTATGGAAAATACTGCTCTACTCATCCTACGATCCATCCCGCTCGGATGTCAGATTTATAGTCTTCCTCCTAGTCCCCTTTTATATTAAAAAAATTTAAATTTAGAAAATTTATACTCTATCAATAAATTCTATCCCATGTATATATATATGGGTCATGCTTTTTTTTTAAAAAAAAACACGCCAATAATGTTTAATTCATTTTGCCTTCAGATTCCATTTTTATCAACAAATGCTTGTGTCAGTTTTGACTATGGATAAAGTATGTGATTTAAACATGATTTATTTTAAAGATGTTTCAAATTAAAGTAGACGAGAGAAGAAAAAATGCAGTTAAATATCCATTTTAAAGGAATAATGAATATTTCTTATATTTTACGAACTACTAGAATGATGTATCAAAATATACAACTAGTTAAATTATCTTTATTAAATAAATATCAAAATGATAAATTACATGTTTAATACTTACATTATCATTTTTATTTTGTTTTAGTACTTAAATTTTAAGCTTTTTTAAAAAAACATTAATGATAATATGATGTGACATGACATGTTAATTTATTTAATTTATTTAATTTTCACATCATTTTTTTATTTATACTTCAATATTTTTAATTAATTTTATTCAACCAATTAAATAATAACATGTGTCACTAATTATGAGAATAAAATAAAAGAAACTATTATTGCTCTTAGCATGAATTAAACCTAGGCAACTTAAATGAAATGTAAGACACTCAACCATTGAATTAAGCTAGTAATTTATAATAATTTTATCATATTATGTATTTAACTTATTTAATAATATCACTACAAAATCAATATTTTTCCATGATTATAAAATTTAAATATGCGGCACTTTAAATTAATAATCGAAACTTTAGTCATTCAAGTATAACGCGAATCTATTTTTATTATATAAAACTTAATACTTGCATATATCATTCTTAAGTTAAAGAGTACTTTTTCACTTTATTTGAAAATAAATAATTACTTTTATTTATTTATAAAATTTATATTAAATTATTCTAAAATATTTATTTATAATATTATGAAAATATTTATTTATTTTTGAAAATTATATTATATTATTTATTTAAAATATTATTATTTTTAAATTATCTATTTAATTTTAATAATATTGCACAGAACTAAAGTTATAGTTGGAGAGTAAACTATAATTTACCTTAAATTTAAAATTAAATAGGCAATTTAAAAATAAAAATTTTCAAATAAATAAATGAATTTTAAAAAATAAATAAATATTTTTATAATATTATAAATATACATTTTTTATAATTATTTCATATATTTTTTATAAAAATATATGAATTATTTAATTAATTTTTATTTCTAAATAAAGTGAAAATTAACTTTTAATTTAATAATGATATAATTAAGTATAAAATTCAGTATAATAAAAAATCACACTATAGTTGAGTGACTAAGCTTTTAGTGATTAATTTAAAATGTCTCAAATTTGAATCTTTTAATCATCGAAAAATATTGATTTTTTTGCTGATATTGTTATATAAGTTAAATTTAAAATGTACTGAAATATAATCAAATTACTAGTTTAGCTCAATGGTTGAGTAATTGTTTCTCATGTAAGATACTCAAGATCAATTCATACTAGGAGTAACATTGATTTATAACTTTTTAACCTATAGGTGGTGACATATGATACCACCTAATTGGTTGAATAAAATTAATTAAAAAATATGACAAATAAAAAAAGTGATGTAATAATAATAAAATAAAAAAATTGATATTCCGTGCTACATAAGCATTACTGTGAATGATTTAAAAAAAAATTGAAGTCTAAATACTAAAATTAAATAAAAAATGATAATTTAGGTATAAAACTATAATTTGTGCTTTTCAATATTTATTTAATAAGGACAATTCAACTAGTGGTACGTTTAATAAGGACAATTCAACTAGTGGCGTTTAATAAGGACAATTCAATTAGTGGTATATTTTGATTCGTTATTTTAATGGTTTGTTACGATATAGTACATGTAATAGAATTTTCAATATTTTGGTTGTTGAATTTTGATGTCAAATCAAATTGAATTCTAGTATGAGTTAGTTAAACTAAAATTTCAAATAAAATCAAGTTGACTGGTAGCTTCACTTAATTGTCTGGGGAAATGGTTACACTGCTAACAACAAACAACCACAAAATTTATATGTATTAAAATTTCCATACTAATAATTGATTGAATTTGACAGTATGAGTTGAATGTTACACCTTAATTTATTAAAATAAAATCTTGATGATTTTTTATATAGGCACGTGGAAATATTGTGATTATTATTTTAGGACATGTCCATACAAGTGGAGCAATATGGACCGTCTATTAATAAATCTAGCCCAGACAGTACAAGTGAGACGGTTATGGAAATGGAGCCACAATAAATAGGACAATTCATTTTTCTTTTGGTAAAAAGTAAAAACAGAAGGCATTGCTTGCGATTATTTATACTTGGGATGAGAATTTATTAGATATTACTTTCTATATAAATTGAAAAAAAAGGAGAAAATAACTGTCAGAGTCAAGAATATCATTTGAAACAGGTTGCAATATATGAACTACATCAGCACTACCTGAATTCATCAGGCAGAATCAAAGCAATCCATCTCTCTCCTGCATGTAAAATAAGACCATACTCAAACGCAGTTAAAAAGACAGATGATTTGTTTAATGAAAAACAGCGTGATTAAGGTTTCATCAATAAACAAATCTAATTATTGACTTTGGAGCTGATGATCATAGATTTTCTTGACATTGTAAGATTTTCCTTTTCTCGTAATCAAGTTCTATTTCATAGTGACCGACTTTTATCAAGTGGCCGTTAAGCAAAACGAGGTTACCTTCGACAATAACTGCCGCTGCTTTCTCAGTAATTGTGTCCTTGCTTTGCTCAAGCGGGATTGGGAGACATGGTCTTTTTCTGCAAGGGAGTTAGAAGATTTGATTAAAACAAAGCACACAACTCAACATTTTCATCCATTACATGTCGATATCGACATGAATTTTCTTTTAACAGGCGAATACATCAGAGTAATAGAAGCTACCTTTTCTAGCTGCTTTTCTTCTCTGCTTACGAATGGTAGCAGCGAGCAATCCTGGTGCCTAGGAACTGTAGGTTGGAAAAAACGAATAGAAACCTGTAAAATTAGCAGGAATTAGAATGGTGAATATTAAAGCAAAAGTATTACACATGCACATGGTGGTGCATGAACCATTAAAATGAAAACTCGTAATCTAACCTCTTCTCTTTCAGGTACGTATAGCGTTTTGCCTGAACGGTTCCTTCTTTTTGGGATAAAACCAAATACATTATGGAAGTTCCATTTTCCTGTTTAAAGAACAAGTACGTTAAATAATAAAAGTGAAAAACATAAAAATGCTAACCAATTAAGATCATTAACCCTACCATCATATGCTTGGTGTCGTAACCGTTTTTAGGCGAAACAATTAAATATTATTTTAAAAATAATTACGACTTTTAATTTTGGAAAATATGTAATTTTGAATTAAATTGGATAGAGTCGCCATCAACATTTGGGTTAGGTAGGTCGAATACCTAAAAACGTCTTTTAAAATTTTTTTAAGAAAAATTGTTTTTTAAGACAAAAGTTGGTCTGCATTTACTAAAGATTCGATTAAAACGGGTTCGGGAATCGGTTACACATGGGGAAGGATTAGCACCCCCACATCGCCCAAAATTGGTATTGTTTCGATTATACGTTGTCGTAATGGTGGAAATCTTGAATCAAATATCAAGTTAAAATATGATCCATTTATTAAATATTGATAAACTTCCTTCAAATTAATTAATTAAAGAAATTATTTTACTCGAATAATAGATCTAGCAAAAATATGAACTTAAAGGGTTAAAATGGTAAAAACAAAAACTTACAAGGCTAAAATAGAAATTTAAAGGACATAAATAACAAAAGCAGAAACTTAAGTGACTAAAATAAAATAACAAAACTAAAGTGTTAAAATCAGAAAAACACAAAGATTCATGTGCTGGAATGAAAAATATGCATAAAAGTTCAAGGACTAAACATAAATTATACCAAAAATACATAACATGTATCATAAATGACTCGCCGACCACCGCCGTCGCATCATCGCTCCACCATCGCCGACCGTCGTCGTGCCGCTGTGCCACCACCTTCATCGGTGGCTGATGGTTACCAAATTTCACCGGGAAGTCCGACTTGGCCTCTTCATCTTGGATCTAGAGTCGGTTTTGCGTGAATCATCTCCGTTTGTCGTAAAAAGGCCAAAAACCGTTCGGAGCCGTTCGTCGTAAAAAGGCCAAAAACTGTTCAGTTTAAGTTTCTCCAATCCGCCTCCATCCACCGTCTGATCGTCTTTATTTTTCAGTATGTTGTTCTTGTTGGCTTTGTGCGTTTTTTCATCGTTCAGAACATTGATCGGAGCTCCCAATCATCGTAAAAAGGCTAAAAACCGTTCGGATTTCTTTTCTCTGATCCACCGTCGTCCACCGTCCGATCGTCCTGATTTTTCAGTATGTTTTTGGTGTTGGCCTTGCGCAAATTTTCACCATTCGGAATGTTGATCGGAGATCCCGATCGCCGGTGAAAAATCCGACAGAATCACATAAGTTTTTTTTTTCGTTTCCTTTAATTTTCTTTCTCCTCCACGTATGACCTCCCCTCCACGTATGGCTTCCTCTTTCTTCCTCAATTGCATGTGGTTTTATGGGTTATGAGATATGGTGGGTATAGTGGAATAAGTGGGGGCTTTATTTAATGTTTAGTGGGTTTTAGTGGAGTATTGTTTTAATATTTAGTAGATGATTTGGTGGATAGTGGTATGGGTGGAGTTAGTGGAGGATTTGTTTAATTGGAAGTGGGTGAGGGTGGTAGTGGTTTTAAATAATAATAATAATAATAATAGTAATAATAATAATATTTAATGATATTTTTTCAACCCGGAGAAAAACGGGTGTCTATAGCTGCCCCTCTTTGCACATTCTTGTGTTAATAAGAATAGGGTAAAGGCGAAAAAGACAACCAGTTTTTGTCCAGTTCTCTTATCTGTTTTGGAGACTTAAAGAGTTTGGATCTTTTAAGGGTTGACACGGCTCCTACGTGATGAGGAGGTCAGGTCGGGTGATGACACGGTTGTTAGGTGATGAGGACGGTAGGTCATCTAAGGGTGATAACACGGTTCCTACGTGATGAGGACGGTTGGTTATCTAAGGTTGACATGGCTCCTACTTGATGAAGAGATCAGGTCGGGTGATGACATGCTTCCTATGTGATGAGGATGGCAGACCATCATTAGGGATGGCAACACGATTTCAAGAGAAGCCGACTTATAGATGATGCTTCAAGAGAAACTATCTCAAAAGAGACAAAATCTGTTGCAAGGGGAACAATCTCAAAGATATTTGTTGTTTCATGAGAAACAATCTCAAAGAAAATAGGATTTGTTTTAAGAGAAACATCTCAAAGTTTGGTTGTTGTTTCATGAGAAACGATCTCAAGGGAAACTAAAACTTTTTTCAAGGGAAACAATCTCAAAGATTGGTGTTTCAAGAGAAACTGTCTCAAGAGAGACAAAACATGTTTCAAGGGAAACAATCTCAAATGTGGGTGTTTCAAGGGAAACTGTCTCAAGAGAGACAAAACTTGTTTCAAGGGGAACTGATTCAAAGATTTTGTGTTTCAAGGGAAATGTTTTCAAAGTTTATGTTTCAAGAGAAACTGTCTCAAGGGAGATAAAATTTGTTGCAAGGGAAACTAACTCAAGAGAGACGAAATTCGTTCCAAGGGAAACTATCTCAAGAGAGACAAAATTCATTTTAAGGGAAACATTTTTCAAAGTTTATGTTTCAAGAGAAAATGTCTTAAGGGAGACAAAATTTGTTTCAAGGGAAACAATCTCAAGTGAGATAAATCCTCTGTATTAAATGAGATTGTCTCAAGCGAGTCAAAATTTTATTTTTCAAGAAAAGCAATCTCTAGCGAGACGACACTTTGTTTCGAGAGAAACAATCTCAGTGGCGATCGATAGTCTGATCGTTCTTTATGGTGGACACGATATCCTTCGTCGTGAAGTTGAAATCGAGGATGGTTCATTCGTTATAAAGTCGAGCCTCGAATTGGATATCATTCATCGTGAAGGTGAAATCCAATTTATTGTTTTTGAGTTGGATATCCTTCGTTGTGAAGTTGAAATCCAATCTCGAGTAAATGGTGTCGTTTCGAGTCCAATATCCTTCGCTGTAAAGTTGAAATTGACTCTTAATGAAACTGGAAAGTTATTTGTTGAGTCCAATATCCTTCGTTGTAAAGTTGAAATTGGCTCTGAAAGCTGGAAAGTTGTTTGTTGAGTCCAATATCATTCGCTGTGAAGTTTAAATTGGCTCTAAAAGCTGCAGAAAATTATGTGTGCAAAAAATGATGAATGTGATGCTTTTAAGTATGTCTAAGATGCATGCAATACGAATTAACTCTTGTTTTATCTCCTAGGCGGAGTCTTGTGCTTTGTCTGCTTGTTCTTGCATATGGAGGAAATACCTTCAGAAGATCTAATAATTCGTACCAGGATATTGAATTCCCAGGATATGACCGATTTCGATGATGCCCTTTAGAGAGATTGCCTTGTTTGAAAAGTGTTTTTCTTTTATTTTCGAGATCTGAAAATATCAATTATAAGAGTTTTGAAAAATGTTTGATAAAAAAGTTTTGAAAATATTGCCCCTCTCTCGGTTTCATAATTGAGACGAATCATAAAACTAGAGTTCATTGGACATCAAATAATTAATTACACTGTTAATTCTTAAATAAATTATAGCTATTTGACTAGTGTCAATATCAAAGCTATCTTTGGGAAATGGTTAAGTAAGGAAAGGATAAAAAAGTCTCAGGTTATTGTGTTTGGTCAATGGTTTGGCCTTCTTATTTCTTTGATGTTTACTGATTTGATGGGGTAGCTTGTATGCTTCTCCACTGGAAGTGTTCTCCGGCTCCCAACTCCCATGGTCACACTCGGATTGTGCAATGCCTTATCAAAGAATTTGTGCAATCGCCTCAGCTGCACCATTTTTATATTCGAGCCGCCTTTTCAGGTTTTCAACTCGAATCCTCTTTTGGTTTTAAAATGTCATTTAGAATTTAAGTCTTGAACCCCCATTTGTTATTTTTCTCTATCATGCATTAAAGATTTTAGAAAACTTTTTGTAAATAAAAATTAATCCTGATGGGCAGGATGAAATATGAAGATAGTCTATTCTGTTTAGAAATCCATGTATGATTAGAAGGGACTTTTTAAGGCATGTAATGTAGGCCATGATTCATGGTTATGAAAGAAAAGGATAAATAGGCCCAAACAAGTGTTTCAGGGTATTGAACCAAGGATCAATTCATTCTGATGCCTTCAATCCTGTCTTGCTCAGTTTGAATCTACTCGTATGTGTCTCTCTCTTAATGCTCTATGATCTTCGAGTGAAGTGATCCTGGAATAACTGTGCTTGATCAATCTCATAGTTTGATGCTCGATGTATCATTTGAGTCGATTCTCGTCCCTTTTTCTTTTCCTTCTTTTCCATTGTTTTTTGTTTCTTTTTCTTCTTTCCTTTTTTCTCTTTGTTTTAATTGGATTTTCACACTTGGCACTTGATTCACCTTTTGATATCTCCTCTGGATTGATGTCCTTGGTTAGGGTTGAATCATAAGAAAAATATTATAAGCTCAAAATGGGACAACAAAGGATATATATATATATATATATATAAATGGATAAATGAAACAAAGCCGTTCATCATCTCATACACAAAAGTCTTCACAGAAGAGGTATCCCCAGGGGGATAGATTTTCAGGATTAAGTTTTATTCACATGAAAATAATGTAATTAATGCATGATAGAATTATTTCGAAGTAATTCTCTTTTTTGCTTCTTTCTTCCAACATATCTCAATTGTTTAGGTTCATCTTCAGGAAGTTGATGACAGATGCCCCATGTTGTGTCTTATGGTAGGAAGGTTCATGCTCAAGTGAACAACTCAATGCCTTAGGTTTTATTGGTATAAAGATGTCAGTTTTGCGTCTAAAAAGACGAAGGTGTGACTTTATTAACTCAAAGGTATCGGTATGACTTTGTATCTCCATGAATTATTCTGGGTAAAAAAAATCGATGAATTTTTTTGACAAGATAAGAAAGGTCTGATCTTCCCATATGTAAAAAATCTATAATTCTTGAAGAATTAAAAGAATATTTAATTTATTTAATATTCGAAGAACTAAAGATTAAAACTCGTTCAATTATTCCACCTAAGAAGGTAGCATAAATTCAGTCGTTTTAAAGATTAAGCAAACATGAAAGATCAAAAACGCGTTCAAACAAAACAATGCTTTCAGTGCAAATGGTAGATGCAATGCCCTCTTCTTTGATTGTCCATGCACCTGAATCAATCAGGTTTTGGATCTTGCGCTTTAGTGCCTTACAGTTCTCAGAGGAATATATGGAGCTTCCTATGTGGTAACTGCACACAGCTTCAACATCATAAACCGTAGGGAATGAGAACTATTCTCTTAGATCATCCTAGAAGATTCAATCCTACAACCTGTTGAACAAACTTCCACTGTACTAATTTCAGTTTTTTTCTTTAATTGTTCAAATCTTGATTCCATGTGCTGTCACGTGATTAGGACCACTTCATCGAATCCTCCATGAAGAAATTTCATGTTTATGAAAATGCATAAAAATAAAATGTAGGTGCAAAATGCAAAAATGCATGAAATGTTCGAGGCATTGATCCGAAAACATGTATGTTATTATAAATAATCCTTATTGGGGACAAAAGTGTTTTATCTTTTAAGAGACAAAAATATCAAAGGTATATTCTGAATAAATCCTCTAGCCTCCGAAAGGCTTCTAACAGGTTAACTAGTCCTCTGCCTTTGTCTGTCGCCAGTTGAATACACTGTCGAACCGCTCCAGCTTCTCTGGTTAAACTGTGCAAGTGTTGAGCTGCTTTTTGCACTTATTCCAGGAAGTCTTGAATGACTACATCTCTGGCATTCATCTTTTGTTAAACTTGTTCCCAACGAATACATCATTGGAGCCCTCCATCGAAAGAAGTATCTGAACCTTACTTGCTTACTTCTTGAATTCGTCAACAATGGCCTCCAATTTCAGCTATTGTTTTGCCACTGTTGTCTTTGAAGGGACTCTCCAGGTTAGTAGCCTTCTTCTCGTCTTGCCCCTGCAAATTTTGCCATTTCAAAAGGTTGACTTTTGATGTGCTCGGTGTAAACTCGGTTTATTTTGAGTCCTTTATAATGCAACAGAGTGGTATACTCTTCAATTGTGGGTACCATGTCTTCTTGGTTGAATGGTCTTGCAGATTGTCTTCCTGACCCTAACTGGACCTATATGCTTTTTCACCTCTTGTATTACAACCCCTTTGTCTATTAATGCAAACTATTCATGTTTAACAAACACGTTTTTGTGGATCAACACCTCTTGCATTATATTATGATAATGCAAATGCAATGCAGAGAATAATGAAAAAAATGACACAAACCAAAGAAGGGAGATAAGTTAGTGTACTCAAACAAAAAAAGTGAAATTAGTTAATACATGTAAGATAATTGGTACAGATAAAAATGTCATTCAAAGATGAATATAACACCTACCAGTCATGATATCTACCCGAGCATACTTTTATTAGATAGTAATCCTACCCAAACATGTTTTCTACCCACAAAGATGTATTTACAAGAAATTAATCCTAACCGCATGGTATCTAGTTCGCATGCTGTCATTCAATAAAATTTAAAGCAAAAGAAAAGGTTCAGAAATGATCCTCCTTTATGTACACTTAATTTGGCTACCTACTGACGGATAGAGGTTCGGTATGACTATACATATAGTGACCGTTCTACGGTTCACTATATGCATGGTTTCAACTCTATGAGGAAAAGGTACTCGAATTGTCCTTGATGTCGGTGCCCCATTGGGCTGTCAAACCCTCGATCCTCACCCATTATATGCTTAAACGGATCGAGTTCAATTCGAGGTGATACATTCTCTTATGCTCGCACGGTGAATAAATTCACACAAAGACATAAGGTATATGACTCCCGAAGGTTACTTGATAGGCCAGCACGGAGAATAAATTCTCACAAAGGCGTCGCTTTCACCCCCACTTAGAAAGGGTTCGAACCTCAGGTATAGAGCTTATGTTATGCAAATGCCTGTGATATGTGTAAGGAGGAACATTTAACCCTTTGACTCAAAAGGAAAACGAAACCACTCGATAAAAACTTGGACATATTTGAAAGCAAAAATCAAAATGTTAGTATAACAAAAAAATGAAGCAATTACAAACTCCAATAAATGAATCATAGGTTAACTAAAGACTAGAACTCATAATTTCCACCAAACGACAATGTGTAAGCAACTTTCAGCCCGACTCTCTAAAAATAATCCCCAGCAGAGTCGCCAAGCCGTCATAACCATTTTTTAGGCGGAACAATTAAATATTATTTTAAAAACAACTACGACTTTTTAATTTTGGAAAATGGGTAATTTTGAATTAAGTTGGATAAAATTGGATAGTCACCATCAACCTTTGGGTTAGGTAGGTCGAATACCTAAAAACGTCTTTTAAAAACAATTTTAAGAAAAATCATTTTTTAAGACAAAAGTTGGTATGCGTTTACCAAAGATTCGATTAAAACGGGTTCGAGAATCGGTTACACGTGGGGAAGGATTAGCACCCCCACATCGCCCAAAATTGGTTCTGTTTCGCTTACACGTTGTCGTAATGGTAGAAATCCTGAATCAAATATCAAGTTAAAATATAATCCATTTATTAAATATTGATAAACTTGCTTCAAAATTAATTAAAGAAATTATTTACTCGAATAATAGATCTAGCAAAAATATGAACTTAAAGGATTAAAATGGTAAAAACAGAAACTTACAAGGCTAAAACAGCTAAAACAGAAATTTAAAGGACATAAATAGCAAAAGCATAAACTTAAGTGACTAAAATAAAGTAACATAAACTAAAGTGTTAAAATCAGAAAAAACACAAAGATTCATGTGCTGGAATGAAAAACATGCATAAAAGTTCAGAAACTAAATAGAAATTATACCAAAAATATATAACATGTATCATAAATGACTCGCCGGCCACCGTCGCCGCACCACCACGCCGCCACCGTCGATCGTCGTCGTGCCGCCGTGCCACCACCGTCACCGGTGGCCGATGGTTACCAAATTTCACCGAGAAGTCCGTCTTGGCCTCTTCATCTTGGATCTAGAGTCGTTTTTGCGTAAATCATCTCCGTTCGTCGTAAAATGGCCAAAAACCATTTGGATTAAGTTTATTCGATCCACCTTCATTCACAGTTCGATCGTCCTGATTTTTCATATGTTGTTCTTGTTGGCCTTGTGCAACTTTTCAATGTTCGGAACATTGATAGTAGTTCCCGATCATCGCAAAAAGGCCAAAAACCGTTCGGATTTCTTTTCTCCGATCCACCGCCGTCCACCGTCCGATTGTCCTGATTTTTTAGTATGTTGTTGGTGTTGGCCTTGCATAATTTTTCACCATTCGAAATATTGATCGGAGATCCCGATCACCAGTGAAAAATCTGGCAGAATCACAGAAGCTTTTTTTCTTTTCCTTCAATTTTCTTTTTCCTCCACGTATGACCTCCCCTCCACGTATGGCTTCCTCTTTCTTCCTCAATTGCATGTGGTTTTATGGGTTATGAGATATGGTGGGTATAGTGAATAAGTGGGGGCTTTATTAATGTTTAGTGGGTTTAGTGGAGTATTTTTTAAATATTTAGTGGATGATTTGATGGATAGTGGTATGGGTGGAGTTAGTGGAAGATTTGTTTAATTGGAAGTGGGTGAAGGTGGTAGTGGTTTTAAATAATAATAATAATAATAATAATAATAATAATAATAATAATATTTAATAATATTTTTCGATTTAGACAAAAACGAGTGTCTACACTTGGTAAATCCATCTTTCCCTAGAAACTTCTTAATAAACTGTAGCTGCACTCAGAAGCAGGAATAAGTTTAGCTTCTTCTCAAGATATGCACAAAATGAATTATTAAAACAATTATCAAAGAGATTTGAAGAAATTAAATTACCTGTATCACTTGAGACCATGTTGATAAAGTGAGTTTCTGCCCACCTATTGCCACATGGTTATTTAAACATTTCCCATCCTGAAAGTTATTAACGTTATTGTAACAGCTTACGATACAATGAATTAAATATGTGCATAAAACAAAGAAGATCAGTACCCCTAGAAAATTTAAAGCATCTGAGGTAGAACTGAACCCTGTATTTGAAGCTTGATCAGGAATACTTTCATTGCTTGTTTCAATCATGCTTCTGAGCTTTTTTATAATACTGTCATTCAGTTCCTTGTTTGGATGTATTCTGCTAGATGTATCACCTTCATGACGAGAATCCTTGGTTTCAGTTGAAATTTTCTCTAGACACTTGGTTTCGAATATTAAAGCCAGGGCCTCACAAGCTGTTGTACACACAAATTTATCGTTGTTGTGTCTAGTAGGTCTGAGAAGAATGAAATTGCCCTGCACCAGAATTACACTTTTAGTTTGAGAAAAGGAGAATTTTGTTAAGACTGCAAAATACTGAGAGTTGTGTTACAATTAAATCTTCCTTATCTCTAACTTTAATATCCTAGTTTGTAGAAAAGATAACTTCTAACCTATATAGGACTCTTATATACTCTTATATAAAAAAACCCTAATGTATCATCTTGTAATTCACGGAAAATCTGAGTAAAATAAAAGTTGTTCTTGAAAACCCTAATTCTACGTAGTATTAGAGCACACTAAATCAATGATCATAACTTTTCACCACATCTGTTCCTCTTTGTGTCCTTGGTTATACAATCTTTTTCCATGATCATAACCACACTAAATCTAAACTTGATCCTCGAGCAATCTGGTGTGTCTTTGTGAGGTACACATCTCATCAGAAAGGTTATCGATGCTGCTTTCCTTCTACCAAAATGTTCTTCACTTCTATGGATGTTACATTCCAAGAACATAAATCGTTCTTCTCAAAAGATGAAATACAGAGAGAGTGGGTATGAATTTCAACTTTTTCCGATTAATACTAAACTACCCATCAATCTATCTCTTACTGAACCTACCACTACTCAACCATCACTTGACATCACTAAAACACCACCTAACACCACCACATCAGATGTTGAAAACTAGACCGCTAATCCAACTAAATCTCCTAAAACACCAAGACTATATATGACACTCCTTATTTCCCAAACCGATCTCTTTAACTACAAATGACGATCCAAACATGTCCTATAGATCACTACGCAACCTATGCATTGTCAAAAGCCAAAACTAGGTTAAAATTCCTTGACAAGGGATGTGATGATTGATACTAGTGAGTTAACGATTGCTCAAAGAAAGAGAGTACGACGATGTACAACTCATCCTATCAATATATTTATTACTTATGGTAAACTAATATCTGGTTTTAAGATATTTACAACTCAGGTTGATTGTATTCGCATTCCAAAGACCATAGAAAAAACATTAAAAATCATGAGTGGAAGCAGGCAGTAGAAGAACTTTCGGCCCTTGCAAACAACAAAACCTGGGTTATTATCAATCATCCTAAAGAATATAAACCAATTAGCTGCAAATGGATATTTATTGTGAAATACAAGGCAGATGGCAGTGTTGAGAGGTATAAGACTAGGCTTATGACAAAGGGGTTTATTCAGACTCATGGAGTAGACTATCAAGAGACTTTTTTCCGGTTGTAGAACTCAATTCGGTTCGAGTACTATTATCCTTGGTTATAAATAAGGATTAGATGCTTCATCATCTAGATGTCAAAATTTTTTTCCTCAAAGACAATCTTGAAGAAGAGGTTTACATGCGAGTTTTACCAGAGGTAAAAATTTTATCTGGAAATTAGCGAGTATGCAAGTTATTGAAGTACTTATATGGTCTAAAACAAACTCCTCAGGCTTGGTTTGAAAGATTCACGAATGTATTTTTGCAAGACAACTATAGAAAATGTTAGTTTGATCACATTCTATTTGTAAAAACTGCTCCAGACAAGAAAAAATGACCTTGATTGTCTACGTTGATGACATCATCATCACGGGTGTTGACTTAGTAGAAATCGAGAAATTGAAGACGTTACTAGAAAAGGAATTCGAAACTAAGGACTTGGGGACCTTGAGATAATTTTTGGGCATGGAAGTGGCAAAATCAAGAGAAGAAATTGTCATAAATCAAAGAAAGTACATTCTAGACTTACTTTCTAAGACTGGAATGATCGGTTGCAAGCCCTCGGAAACTCCTATGGAAGTGAATCTGAAGTTAAGAAAAGATGGAAATCCGGTAAACAAGGATCAACATCAAAGGTTAGTTGGTAAGCTTATGTATATATCCTTAACTAGGCTAGACATCGCATTCTTCGTTAGCATTGTGAGCCAAAATGCATGAATGATCCTAAAGAAGAACATTTGGAGGCAACAAATCAAATTTTGAGATATTTCAAGATGACACTGGGACATAGGTTGATTTTCAAAAAACATGAAGATAGAACTGTAAAGATTTTCTCAGATCCAAGCTGGGCTGGAGAATTAACTGATAGAAGGTCAACTACGGGTCATAGTTCGTTTGTTTGGGAACATTTGGTGACTTAGAGAAGCAAGAAACAAGCCATAGTTTCCGGAGCAGTGCAAAAGCATAATATCGGGCAATAGCACTCGGGATCTGTGAAAGTGTTTGGTTAAAAAGGCTTTTAACCGAACTAAATATGTGCGAAAACAACCACTTTGAGCTTCAGAGGGACAGTAAATCAATAATAAGCATTGCTAAGAATTCAGTACATCACAACAGATCAAAACATGTGGAGATCGACAGATACTTTATTGCAGAGAAAGTGAATGGCGAAACAGTGAAACTAAATTATGTCTATTCACAAAATCAGTTAGTCGATGTCTTGACCAAAGTACTTCCAAGGATTACTTTCGACGAAAATATATCCAAGCTGGGTCTTTAAAATATTTACTCCCCAGCTTGAGGGGGAGTGTGAGTTGTGTTACGATTTAACTCTAGTTTCCTAACTTATCTCTAACTAGGGATGGGCATGGGTCAGGTTTCGACCAACAGGACCCGACCCGAAAATTCTACATCCTTCACCCAACCCGACCCGACCCGAAAAATATATACCCTTCACTCGACCCGACTTTTTGAGATAAAATCTGAACCCGACCCGTTCTGAATAAAAATATTATTTTTATTCAATAAAAACATTAATTTAATTGAAAAATAATATATAGAGGGTATTATTGTAATTATTCCTAAATATATAAGATAAAATTATATGTTTTCGGGTTGGGTCTGGTATTTTTCACCCTAAACCCGAATCCGACCTGAACCCGATGTTTTTAAAATCTTGACCCCATCGAATTGGGTTGAAATCCGTCGAGTTCGGGTTCCATGCCCATCCAATTCTCTAATTCTAATATCCTAGTTTGTAGAAAAGATAACTTCTAACTTATCTAGGACTCTTATCTACTCTTGTATAAGACACCCTAATGTATCCTCTTGTACGGAAAATGTGAATAAAATAAAAGCTTTTCTTCTTGAAAACCCTAGTTATACAATAACGATATGATACGCCCATGGGAAAAAGCACTTTTAGGAAAATTTAACGTGCGCAACTGTTTCATTAAACCATCAAACTACATCCAAAATACGTGAACTTTTTAATTAAAAGACTCACCCATTCCAAGTTTTGTGACTCAGTCTCCATCCATCAATAGTAGAAAGAAGAAGAAAGAATAGCTGGAGAATATTTCCTTTCAATCTGATGAGACGTAAAAGAAACTCAATCCTTCTAGTCTCCAATTTACGGTTAATTAAGTTTAAGAATTGACTAAGAAAATTACAAAACATATGAACACAAATAGCTTAGGTTAGCAGCCAAAGGAAACAGTAAGAGTTTTAGTTGATATTCATACACTATGACCAGGGTCAGGATTAATGAAGTCCCAAAGCAACTTCATTGCTTGTTCAGTCTCATCTGAATTGCTTGCGCCAAAAAAGGTAACAACAGCCAAACAGCCAAGAATCTGCACGGAAGAAGAAACTTATATCAGAAGTCCATTAAGCATAATCATGAAAGAGGTATCCAGAAAATCAAATAGCAATTAATTATCATATTAACTTTGACTTCATATCATCATAGCATACACTCGTATTACCTCCAAGGTATTAAACTTAGCTTTAAGTTCTCCTTGAGAAAGTGCAGTCGGTACATAATCATATGCTTCGTGCACCTTATCAGCAGAAGTAGTAATCATTGAAGACAATCCTACAAGAACATGTATCAAAACTGTAAGCTAAGGTTCAAAGTGAGATAAAATGACATTGACAAATATTTAAACTATCCTGAAGGATGAACCTACCGATAATATGTGCTGCTTGCTTCATCTCCTTGGGAGAACCCTTTTTAATGCAATGCAGGCATTGATATACTAGTGTTACAAAGCTGCAACAAGATGATAATAATAGTGAGAAATTACCTGGTTTATATGATTTATAGAAAAAGAAATTTCAAACCGTAGGTTTTAGCAACCACAATTAGATTCTTCTCGAGAATGAAGTTTTGGGCTTCTAAATAATGTTTACTTTCGGTCAACAAAATTTTGCTCTATGTTGACAGTTAAAGCCTTGAGAATCGATGAAAGTGCTTCCTCCCTTAGTGATGCCCTGCATTTTTGAAATAAACAAGAGGGAAGATTTTAACGGAGTTGAAAACAATGTAAACAATTGGAAATCTAATGAATTATTAAAAGGAAATCCAAAAAAACCAAATTCAGAGCGTAAATAAAAATTCTATAATTACAAGCAAGAGATATTATATAACTTTTATCAGATAAGTCCCTAGAGTAATCCTGAAGAGACTTGGAGTGACCGTGGAAATTGCCCAAATCACCACTAGCATCATCAAGCAGAATGCCTCTTCTTGTTGATTGATTGCTGCCTTCGCCTACAGATAATGATTTCAATCTCAATTAACAATGCATTGGGTTCTTTGTAAATAAATAAAGCTTGCTTTGGGTTCCAAATTAAGCAAGCATCATGCAGACATCGAATTAATTGCAGAATTCGTGAAGAAGCTTCTGATATGATGCGTGCAGAAGAAAACAAAGAAAGGAATGCTAAACGGTATGCAATCAAATAAATTCTTATGAAACTGGAAATCTATGAAAACTCAACAAACATAATAATTTTATACCTCTATACTTGTACAGAATAAGACAAAACATAAATAATTTTTTAAAACAAAAATGTAATAGAAATTATAGTTAAACAATATCAATACTGATACAAACCAAACCTATAAGGCTACAAATATCACCTAAAACAATGTCTTCGTGCATTTTTTAAGCAAAAACCTCTATTATTTTACGATAATCAAGACTTTGTAAAAATTGACTTTCGATGCTTAGAATTGCTAATCCGTTTAATATATCTTGAGTCATCGTACTTCGAAGATAGGATTTCAAGAGCTTCAATTTTGAAAAACTTTTTTCCGCGGAAGCAACCGTAACCGATACCGTCAACAAAATTTTATATGCTATCAACACATTAGGGAACATATCCATTCTTCTTGCAAATTCCATTATATGTTCATGGACTTTCACCTTTGTGTGCTTCATCCGGCAACATTTTCTGCAAAATTTGCAACTCCATAAATAAATCTTTTCCATCAATATCAAATTCTTCACCATTTGTCAGTCAAGATTTAAACAACATTTTTTTAGTTTGTCATCAAGTAATGGAATTAACTTTGAACCATCAAACAAAAAACCAAATATAGACTCGAAATGTTGCATTTGTTCAAATATACTTTTCAATTGAACAAGAGCCATATCTACAAGAATAATAAAATAATCCTTTCGAAATGGTTCTTGAGAAGATTGTTGTTCTCTTTCGGTATTTGGAATTTCATCAAATTGTTTTTTTTATAAGAAAATACATTTTTTAGGAAATTGAGGTTCAACTCCAATATTATATGTTATTTCTTTAGCTTCATTAATAGTATTGTCAAACCCAATTTTCCTATATTATTCAAAGTTATTAATTAACCCCTCTAAGTTTTTAACCGCAACATTAAGAAGCATATCTTTGAATTGTAATTTCTTACTAACCAAATTAATTCTAAACAAAATTTCATGGCATATAACTAAACTTAAAATAAATTCAAAACTAGAAAGTTAACCATTTACTAGTGATTCGACATCTCGACACACTTTTCCATCATCACTAATTTCGGCTAATCTTATTAAAGCTTCTCTTATTTGAGAGAATTGAGTTTTTATTGCTTTAACACTTTCAATATGACTTTCCCAACGAGTAGCAGATAATGATTTAAGTGTTAGTTCATTTATAAATTCAAGTAAAACACTCTATCTTTTTATGGAACTAGACAAAACATTATAAATTGTTTGACATGTACCATAAAAATATTTGCCTTGTGGCAAGAATTTGCCATATCACACAAAACTAAATTTAAACTATGACACCCACATGGCATATAAAAAGCTCTACGATTTATATAAAGCAATCGTTTTTGTACACCATTGTGTTTTCCTTTCATATTACCTCCATTATCATACCCTTGACCATGAACATAATTAATATCCAAATCAAGAGATTTTAGAGAATCTTGTAAAATATTAAAAAGTTTTAGACCGTATGTTTCTTCTACAATTAAAAACTCTAAAAAAATTCTTCTACTTTTATTGGAACACTTGTCACATCCACACATCTTATAATTAAAGTCATTTGTTCTTTGTGACTTACATCCGGAGTGCAATCAAGAATTATAGAAAAATATTTTGCATCTTTAATCTTTTTAATAATTGCACTTTTTACATCCGATGTCAACATTTCGATTAATTCATTTTGAATTTTATGACTAAGATAATGATTATGTGTTTCCTTGTATTGAATTAATCGAAAATGTTCTTTCACCACAGGATCAAACTCAGCAATCTTTTCAAGTATACCTAAAAAATTACCATTTGAGTTTTCATAAATTTTTTCATTTGTGCCACAAAAAGCCAAATTATTTTTTGCTAAACATTTCACAACATCAATAATTCTAACCATCACTTCTTTCCAATGTTCAATATATTTTTTTTATCATTTCTTGTAACTCTTTATCAATTGTTTCATTTTTATTTAACCTAATTTGTGTTTCAGTCCAAGTTCTTAAATTAATCATATGATCGGAACAATTTTCATGTTGTTTTAATCTTTCACCTAAATGTATCCAATCATTTATTCATTCAATTGCCAAATTACTTTTAGTCCGATAGGTTTAAATAACTTACAACAAAAACAAAAAACTTTATCAAGTTCTTTTGAATACACTAACCATTTTCTATCACAAGAATCACCATTTCTTAATTTACGAATAAAAAAATCACAAGAAAAATGTCTATCATGTGCATCTTTTGGAAAATTGTATTAGGTTCAATTTCTCTAGGCCCTTTTTCTATAAGTAAATCTTTCATTTTTGAATCTAAGTCATCCCACACTCTAGGATAAAAAATATTAAAATCACTTGATTTATCTTTATCAACAAATTCATTATTCTCACAATCTTTAGAATTATCAACCGAATCATTAGGTGAATCATTGGAATTTCCAATCGGATTATTAGAAGGTTTAATCGGTCTAACAATAAATCTATCTAAAGACTCATGTAAAGAATTAGCCGTTTCTTGTTCTTGTTTTTTCGTTTTCTATTTTGGGCACCCGATGGTTGTTTTCGAGGTAACATATTTAAAAATAATCAATAAAACAAATATAGTAGCAAGTAAACAATAAAACATATATATTAGCAAGGAAAGATACAACTTGACCGGTGACCGAAGTTTATGTTGTTTACTTGTTCTTTCTCACAATCAACTGATCTGGAAAATTAATTATGAAATCAAAATAATCAGAAGGAATCACTTTAAAAAATGTCTTGAACGAAAATATTTAGCCATTATTTTTTTTCATCAAACTAAGTTTGCCACATATGATTTCCTTCTTACATTTGGACAATTGAAAACTCTAACTTCCAAATTGAAAGAAAATCGATATAAATATATAAAATTATATACTGAACTTCAAACTAGAATAAGCAAATATCAAAGGCAATGAGAAAAATTCTCCCTTCTACTTAGAACACAAAACAACAACATAAAATAAAATGCCATCACTTTTAACTCTATTCTTCCCTTCCACCAATTCCATACATCTATTAAACAAGCTCAATTTAATTTCCAAGTAACTAGTGATTCTCTCATTCTGAATGTCTTATTCAGTATTCTAAAAGAGGTATAGCATATAATTAATGTATATAATCTCAATGCACATGTATCTAAATATCTTATTAGATCCCAATCATTGTCTAACCACTGGTAACTTCTCAAAAAGTAAAACATGAAAATGCACAAACATCTGTGATCTATTCCAGTTCCAACTAAACAAGTAATGATCTTTAAAAAGGTCAAACAGGAAAAAAAATCTGAATAAAAACAAAGTAAAACACGCAAAAGTGAATTAAAATTGCTTCAATCTTAGCTCTAATCAAGTAATCATTCTCATTCATCAATTTTTAGTAATTGTAAGTTTTTACAAAACCCTAGAAAGTTAATCAACGTCAAATTCCAACTTACACAAGCAAATCAACGAAAAAAAAACATAACCCGAATATCAATCAAAAGAAACCGTTTCCATACTAATAAAAATTGAGGGGGGGAAATCAAATTTTCATTACCTTGCCTCTTTCTTTCCCAATAGAAAAAAAATGACAAAAACGAACTACACTCTGTGATCGATTTGTTCAAAAAGAAAAAAAGATAAATAGCTTACAATTTGATCGATTTTAAGCTTTTTTTGGCGATCAAACCAACTAAAAATTGTAACATCCTCAATACCGAGTTAGTGACCAAAGTGTGAAATTTTAAAAATTCAATGACCAGATTAGATAAATTGAAAAGTGAAGGAAATAATTGAAAGATGTTGGTGTAGGATGAATTAATAAATGAAGGAAGAGTAAAAGGGTAAAAGGGTAAAAGGGTCATTGAACAAGGGGTAATAATTAAATAATTATGGTGGGTATTTTATAAACCCACGTGAATCATAATTGGGGAAACATAGTTCCAGATATTTCTCATCTTCATCTTCTTCTCTTTCCAACGTGAAGCAACCAAGCCAAGGTAAGTTGGATTTCTTTTAGTTAATCCTTGAAATTTAAGTATGGTTTTGGTTAAGGAAGACTTAGGAAACATGATGGAGATGAAAAGGGTTATAGAAAATCAAAGATTTGTAAGTTATGAAAGATTAAAAATAAGAAGTGGATAAGTGAAATTTTGGATAAGATGGTTTAAACGAATTTGTAGGTTGAATTTGACTTGTCATCTATGAGAATAAGAAGTTATAAGCGTTAGAATTAAGTTTGGATAACATGGAAAATTCGGTATGATTCTTAGCTTTAAGAATTTGGATGAAATATGGGAGATTATAAAGTATTAGAATGATAGAAATTAGTTAAAGTTGTTATAGATGAGTTTAATAGCATAATAAGGGTTGTATACATGAAAATTTGGGTATAGTGTAGATGAATTTTCGGGGTAAAAAAGCCTGTTTTGAGCAGAGTGTATCGATACCCTATGTATGTGTACCGATACCCTCTTGAACAAAAAATAACAGAATGCAGTAAGGGTACCGATACCTCAAGGGGTGTATCGATACCCCTAAAGGAAAAATTGAATATTGATTCATTAAATTTGTTTAAGTTAATAGCATCGAAGTATAAGGTTTAGGCTTATGATAATCATATTGAAAATTATATTTTTGTAGATACAGAGCCTAAACGAGTTCCGGAACAATTGGCAAGTAAGATTGATCGAGGGAAAGGCAAAGAAATATAGGTGAGTGCATATGAATAGCATGGTTATCATAACCTATTAAACTCTAGACTTGTTATAAGTCTAGTTCCAATATCATTGGTACATGATTACATTTCATATTATGATAAATGACATGAATCATATCATATGCATTATGTGAAAATGATCTAAGTGAATATGTATGAAAAGTTTATATGAGCCATGTGATAAGGTAAGAAGTTATATGTCTACGCGATATAAACTATGTGAATTGTAAAAGCCCATGTTATGTAGATGAGAACTATAGGTATAGTTGGCATGCCAAGAGTAGAGGGTTTACGCGGTCCTTCGGGACATATATGTATTCTTTGGAACATGTATGAGGTCTTTTGAGACACCTACTTGATCCTTGGTATATGTATATGATTCTTAAGGAATTTTTATATGGTTCTTATGGACAAATCTTATATGGCACTACGGTGCATTTCTACGTGGTCCTTCGGGATAAATTCTACGTGGCACTTCGGTGCAAATTTATACGAGTTGTGGTGACAACATAGTGCACAACCTCACGGTACTCACATACCTCAGGTTCTCAGTATTATATCATGGGCCAATGAACTTATTATATGAATTCATGATGGTTAATTTGATGAGATTACAGGTAAGATATATGGTTATGTAACTTGCATGGATTAAATATGTAATTTTGTCACACTTCATCTCATGACGGCATTATCATTATATTTCATTGTCATTATTATTATGCCTCACTAAGTCGATGACTTAGCGTGTGAGTGTTTCACACGTAGGATCTGAGAAGATAGATAAGCAAGGTTAGACAACTGGGACAACATTACTTCTACAACTACCAGATCAGAAGAAACTTAAATAGTATGTATTATTATGTGATAAATAGTTTGACATGTAAACAAAGTCGTTAAATTAAGTATATGTGATCTGATCGAGTTTTGGAATATTTTAAACGTATTTATGTAAATGGTAAATATATAGTAATGAAAGTTTAAATTTTATGAGTTTTATATAAGTGGACAAAATTGTTGTAGCAAGGGTATCGATACACTGTAACAGGGTATCGATATCCCTGTAATATTCTGGAAAATTTTAGTATTTGATACTGTTCATTATTGTTCACAGTACTGTTCATACAATATATTACTGTTCATAAAAACGTATTTTCCTTAAATTTGTTATAACGAACATAATTCAACGGTATATTATCGTATTTTCTTAATATAAGTTCAAACGTTTTGTTATTTTGTAATAATATTGTTTTAAAAAGCCAATGTGACATATCGAACTCGTATTCGGGTCGGATACGGATTGGGGTGTTACAAAAATCAAATGGTTTAGGCGAGTAAAACCGTGTAACATAAAAATTAAACCCTAAAAAATTGCCCCCAAACATACTGCCCTGGGCCGTCGCCCATGTGGCAGATGTATTGGGCCGAGCCTACTCTAGAAATATTAATGAAACTTACGATTTCTCCACTTGTCCATGCTCTTCAGGAAAAACTCAAACTTTTCTACTTGCTGCAAAGATACTATTGCCTTGATGAAGCTCTAAACCAATAGAACGAGAAACCCATTCTTGATTCGTAACCTTATTAACAGAGTAAAGTTTCCAACTTTCTTTCCCTTTCATCTCAGCTTTTTTGCTACGAGACAGTCAAATAGCCTACAGCCTTCCAATTGGATACCTAAAAAAATCAAATTATCGACACTGCCCTTTCTGCACTAAATAATCCCACAAATGTAAACCCTGCTGCAGATGCTGGTTCTCACAAAAGAACTTCATTAGCATCACCACTGTCCGGCTCTTGGGAACGAAATTTCTCTTGCTCATTTTATCGTAAGCTCGCAAACACCCTCTATGCCACTCGCCTTCATCGTTCCTAAGAACATCGTGTGATACGTAACGCCATCGGACTTTATCTGCTTTTGCTCCATCTCGTCCATCAATTCCATTGCGGAATTTATATCTCTGGACCTAATAAGGGAACTGATCATGGCATTATAAGCTCCGGTATCATGCTGTAAGTTTCTCTTAGGAATTTCATCGAACAGCTGCCTCGCCTTCGTAATATTTCAACCAACACCAGCCCCGTGAATCAGAGTAGTGATTGTCTCGAGTGTTGGCAGGCAATGGAGGCGTTCCATTTCTTCAAGAAGCCGTAAACCATCCCCCAAACATCCCTTCTTATAGTAAGCATCGATTCGAATGTTGTACGTCATACAGTTCGGCTTAAAACCTCTTCGAACCATCTCGTGGTAAAAGGGTTCCATTGCAGTAACATCGCCAGATTCCTTGAATCCCAAGAGCAAAATAGTCATGGTATCTTCTGGAAAACCTATCTTGCTTCTTTCATCTCCCTCTCCGAGCAAAAAGCTCGAAGCAGAACATTGAACTCATCGGTACCAAAATCCCTCCCGGCAAAAACCTCTGTCTCCATCCTCTTGAATGCTTCGAGGGTATCTTCATAGGATTGGAATTTAGCAATTTTGGCTAACATAATGCTCATCGATTTAAGGGTAAGCAAAGAAGGGTGGGAACGCTTCATATCCATCATCAATTCCCAAGCTTTATCGAAATAGCGCATCCGTGTGAGGATATGGAGCGTTTTCTCGAAAGCATCCACGCTGGGAGCGAGCTGGGAATGGTGGATTGAATAATTGAAGAACTCCAATGCTTTTATTCCATTTGAGTGTGCAGCGAAGAGTCGACCGAGAACGTTTTCAACGAAAGGTTGAGAAAGGGAAACCGGTGGGATTTTCCGTAGAAGGGTCGGTTGGAGTGGTTTCTCAGGGAAGGGATGGTCGTTGATTATTCTAGTGACTCTGTCAATTTCGGGGGTTAGAGGAGATGGGGTTGATGATTTGTGAGCAACGAAGAGAAACAAGGAGAGATTTGCTTTTGAAAGTTGAATAATTAAACTGGATTTCTTCTTCTTCATTAAAGAAGCCATTTTTCCCCTCTTATGGATCAATTATGGTGGAAAACAAAACTGATCTCTCTTTTCATCCCTTCAGTGGTCAGTCGTTAAAGCTCAGTGATGAACTGTTCTTCCATTATAGAAAGGAAAAAATCGTGAAAGTAGAAAACATTAACATAAAATACTTATTTAACCATCCAACTATTCAAAGGAAAAAATCGTGAAAGTAGAAAACATTAACATAAAATACTTATTTAACCATCCAACTATTCTTACCATTCTACTTAAATCATACTTAAATTTATATTTTTATTTCATTTTGATATATTCTTTTTAAATAATACTTAAACTTATATTTTTATTTCGTTTTGATATTTTAAATAGTTAGTCAAAATCTTGTTGACGGCTGGTTGAAGCAGAGTAAATATTGAAGGTCAAGCATGTTACGGTTTTGCTGTTAAAGGTTGTTGGCGTTTGTTGAAACTGTTATGCCTAGCTAGCTTATGTGGGAACAAACTCATAGTGATACCCATAAAACTAGAGTGAGGTTATATAAAAGTGCCTAAGAGTAAAAGGCCTTAATCATCTTTTTTTTAACCCTCTAGATTCAACTTATGTGTTACAATTAAGTCTAATGAATTACGTTAAATTTCTAAAACATTCTTCGATACTTTAAAATAATAATATATCCAAAACGATTTTAAAACATGAAAATCATAAGTAAAATAAATATCAAATAACATCAAGTGTAGCAATCAACACATCAATAAAAGGCCTTAATCATCTTTTTTTAACCCTCTAGATTCAACTTATGTGTTACAATTAAGTCTAATGAATTACGTTAAATTTCTAAAACATTCTTCGATACTTTAAAATAATAATATATCCAAAACGATTTTAAAACATGAAAATCATAAGTAAAATAAATATCAAATAACATCAAGTGTAGCAATCAACAACACATCAATAGTAGAACAAAATATGTTGTAAAACAAGTATAAGAAAATATAGGCACATGCCACCAAAATAAAGGTAGTTCGAAAGATGAAAACATTACAACAAAAGGTATAGTACGTAATGTGTCGATCCTCCAAATGCCTAGTCTGGGGTGCCTACCCAATAATATTTGAAAGGGGAAAAAGTTTGTGGAGTGAGCTAGAGAGCTCAGTGTATTCCAATAAGTGCATGATAAATCATACTGGTAATTTCAGAAAATAGTTCAGTAAAAATTTCATAAAAGTGATAGTAAATTTTTTAGCAAAAGCATTTATTTACCCTATAACCGTACACTATATGCAGTTCCCATAACTGCATCCATAAGGACTTACCCTAGGATTATTGGGCGTATGAGTGAAACTAAGGGAGTACCTTGAGACCTAAGAGCCTACCTAAGGATCACATTAGGTCCATAAGGATTTACTAACTTGATCAGAGCTGAACCTACATGCTTCAGAATCCTACCCAGACAGTATCCAATAAAACAATTCAGATAGTAAACAGTAGTTTCATGATCCATAAATCAGGCATATTATATTTTCTAGTAAAAACAGATAACTAAAGAGCATGTATCGGACAAACATAGTTCATAACCAGTAAATCAGGAAACCATGATATCGATCAAGTAAAACATTTATAAATCAATTCAGGTAACCTATCATATTTTAGAACAGGTAAAACAAGTATATAGCACACAAGGAACACACCTAAAAAATTAGTGTTCGAACCCAAATCATAACGAATATGGGTTACTATTGAAGAAATATGTAAATCTATATATTTATAGGGTTTACATAACTATACGAGTAATCACAAGCTCACGCGGTCGGACGGATCAATAATCACTTAAATTGAGGAGAGTCTCGAGTACCTTCAATAATCAATAACATAAATAAGCCATTGTCCTTAAATTAATATCACTTAAATAAAATAATTAGATATATATACATATTGAGGGTTTACCCTCGATTAAGGGACTTTCGGGTTAGAATTTGGAAAAACGGATTGTAAGTTCGGACTCAAGACGTTGAAAAAAGTAAAATATGATTTTTCAGAAAATTTTAATTTTTCGTCAATGTCAATGCCATTCAAAGTCAACGGTTCGATCAAAGGCAATAGTTCAAACCGAATTCGACTTGCTTAGGCCGATTTGGGTTGAATCGATTTGGTTCGAGTTCGGTTGACTCAATTTCTAGAATATTCAGGCTGACCGAGAAGCATCACACGTAAGGACGGAGCGTGCATTGGTGTTAGGTTCAGGGGAAACTGTCGATTACTCCTCATTCAATCACTCATCAAAATCAACCCAAAACATATAAAATATCTAGCCAAAACTACGTAAAATGATAAAAAAAATATGAATCAACTTACCCTTAATGACGTGTAACAACCCAATCATTGGGTCAGTGATCAAAATGTAAGAACTTCTAAACTCAGTGGTTGAATTAGAATAATTTGATAATTCAAAGATTTATAGAGGAATTTTGTGTTGGGTATTATAACAAATATGGATGTTTAACAAGGGAAAAATGGTAAATTATAGGGAATGCTATTTTAATTGTTTTATTATTGGATAAGTATGTGGTAAAAAGGGAGAAGGGTCTGGTAACTCTTCCTTGTTTTCTTCTTCTTCCACGTGAGCTCCATCTTTAAAGGTAAGAATCTGAATCTTGATTGTTTCCTTTAATTTTTGGTTTGGTAATGGAAGTAGGGGTGTTATATAAACTTAAGTAAAGCTTATATAAGATTAAAACAACAAGATAAGTGAAATTGAAAGGATTTTGTAAAATGGGTTTTGAAATGAAATATTTTGATATGGAGTAGTTTTTGAAGTTTTAATATGATATTTGACTTGTAAATTGACTAATTAAAGGTTTAGGGGTGTTAGAAATGCATAAGAGCTTGGTTGATACCATGGTATGATTTTTAGATATAAGTGTTTTAGTGAAATTTTGTATGTTTGGGAGTAGTAATTGAATACAAGTTGGTGTGGAAGTATAATAGTGAGTTTTAAGGCTTTTGGAGTGATGATATTAGGCATATAGGAAGGTTTTTGGGTGATTTCTGAGGTGAAAATGACAATTATGGGCTTTGAGTATCGGTACCATTAGAACAGTACCGATACTTCAACGGTAAAATATGGGAAATTATTAAGGGTAGTATCGATACCTGTTGAAGGGGTATCGATACTGTAAAGGTAGTATTTACAGTATCGATACCCGAAGGATGGCATCGATACCCTTGAAAATCGAATGCCAAATTGGTATCGATACCTTGAGGAGGTATCGATACCCTTGAACATTGAATGTTACTTTGGTACCATGAGGAGGTATCGATACCCTTGAAGGAAAGTATCGGTACTGTTATAGTAGTACCGATACTTCTAAACATGAAATGGAAATGTAGGGTTTCTTGCATTCTAAGTTATTATGATTTGATATAATCGATATGAAGAATGATATTGATATTCGATTGTTTTGTATAGTGATTGATCGTATTCAATTTCCGACGACTTGACATATTCAATATCAAATCGAAAGGTGTCAAAAATTTGGATTAGAACTTCTGTGAGGAAAAAGTGAGTGCAACTTCTCGGTTTTGTAACAGTATTGAGAAAGGCTTGCGATAAGCCAATCTCTGTGTTTTCGATCGAAAACTTTATATTTATTTTCTGTTATATTTCAATGTTTTATTCCATTTACTTTATACTAGTTATGTTTTATGATCATATGAACATGGAAATGTGAACTTTGAATCAATGAATATGAACAAACTCTATGAGAGAGAAACTATGTGAATAAGAAACATTTTAAATAATGTTTGAGCATCATTATGTGATTAATAGACCAAAGTATATGTATGAGGATTAAAGGTATAGTTGGCATGCCAAGAGTCGAGGGTCTTATGTGGTCCTTCGGGACAAATATGTGGCACTTCGGTGCAAATTATGAGCTGTGGTGACAACATTAGTTCACAACCTCAATGTACTCAAATACCTAGCGTTTTCAGTAGTATACCTTGAGCATTTAAAATAAAGAAATATAAAGTGAAACTATTTATATTTATACTTTTGATATGAGAATTAAAGAGAATTCTTTGTGAACTATTTTGAATAAAAAAAATAAGATTTCTGATACTAAGTTAGCACTGTTAGTATTGCCTCACTAAGTCATCGACTTAGCGTGTGATTTTTCTCATGCTTAGGTTTGAAGAGATTAGACAACTGAGTTGTAGAGGATAGCATATCACCGGAAGATCAGATCAAGACAAATTAAATGTAGGTTTTTGGGTTAATTTTGTAAACTATTGGCATGTATTATACTTTTAATTTGAAATGCACTGATCGATTTTGTAAACTCTTTCATTTGGATATCTATGTAAATTATTAAGATTTTATGTAAAATGATTATCCTATTCGAATGATTTATATTTTCTTTATTTTTATTGAGACAACAAATTTTAATTTGTTCCTATTTGTGAATTTCGTATGTTTTGAAAAGTCAAATGTGACACATTAGATTCATATCTGGGTCGGGTACGGGTCAGGGGTGTTACATGACAGATGGTGGAGACAACGGTGATGTGACCCACTGGTTGGGTTTCGATCAGAAGATACTAAGCAGTCCAGTGGTGGAGGCGATGAAACTAATCGATGCCTAAATTGGTCGAAAACGATGAAACAAAGCGTCGGTCGATGGTTTTCTTTATGAACACTTCGAACATCGATTCACAGAAAATGATGATGAATCTCAGTGAAGGGCCATTTGGGTTTTACTTGGACAGTGGCGGCGAATGCGTCAGTGATGACAGTGATGGCAGTGATAAACACAACGATCGAGGTGACGATAGAAATGATGGCAAGGTCGAGCAGCAAAAAATGGTTTAAGCTTTGGGGAAATTTTGATTTCTAGGGATTTGGCTCAAATTAATTTTGGGAAATATTTAAAAGGGGAATTTTATAATAAAAAATTAAATAGTGTCCTAGCCTAAATGATAGGGTTAGGGAAACCATACTTTTAGTTAGGGGCTCGAATCCC